GAGCTCCCGCCAGGGCTGCCCGGAGCGGCTGGACAGGGCCCCTTGGGCTTGGACCTGGAGAAAACTCCGGGGACCACAACCTGGCGGTGGCCGATGGAAGACACGGGGCTGCTTCTTCCCCGAAGCTTACCAAAACCCAACTCGGCTTTAAACCTCCTCCCGTTGATTTACCGAGTTCCCGTCTAAACCGGCGAGCCGGGCTTTTAACCCGTCTCCATCCCGCCCAGCCCTGCGCTAGTCCCCGCAGCCCGAGCGCCAGGCGGAGGAGTTCGTAGGCAAGCCTCTGTCCGCAGTTGTTCAGCCGGGAAAGCTTTGGAGTGTGATTTACACACTTTAAATAAAGTTTTTGAGTGTTAAATTAAGTTGGAGTGAGAGCCAGTGGCCTCCAAAGGAAATTATTGCCGGTGTGCAACTGCTGTGTTTCAAACTTAATCTGTTGACTGAATGATACATTTCTCCTGGGTGAAATTTTAGTTGTTAAAATGCATATGGTTAACCTGAAACCTGTTTTTTGGTCTACATCACGTTTAGCAACAAGCGTTTTGTTCAGTAGAGTACCAGGCGCGTGCATATCCCTTAATGCAGTTAATGTAACTGGCAGGAATGGTTTATTGTTTAATCCTCCTAATGGAGTTTGCTAGTTTACTGAGAGATTTCCTCCCCTGGAATGCTGTACGTGGAGGGCTTTCTTATCCTTTTTTCTCCAGATGTATTGAATACTGTAACTCAGATCTATTCCTGCACGGGGATCCCAGAAAGATGTTTGGTTTATTTCCAAACTAGCTTCTCTGAATTCTTTTCAAGCTGTTAGTTTTCCTTTATTTTTCTAATTAGATTTCAAAAACACAGAAAAGATTACTTCTTCCTTCCTTCAGGCCCTGTGGCACTATTGTGGTTTTGTTTTTTTTTAAATACAACACTATTAGCTTTCATTCGTGCTTAAAAGTGACAGCATGATGCTGCCCTCAGATGATGTTGTGTGTGACTATGAGTGACTTTCAGTACAGCTGTCTTAATAGTAATGATTGTAATAGGATTCAATATATTTAAATATCTTTTAAATTCACCTTTAAAATTCATGTGAAATGATTGTTACCACAAATAATGTTAGTAATTATTTTTACTTAACTAGTATCTCTGCAGAAAGCAAAAGTAGGCACCCCTGCAAAAAATTACTTAACTTAATGATTTCGTCTCGAGCCATAACATTAATTAAATCAAACTGTCAAGTAAAAATCACACGAATCAAAATATACTTATGACTGAATAACAACAGGTGGCATTTTCAGCTTTAGTTTTTCCATTTGTTTTTATTTTTCTCCCTGCATATTTTGTTTTAAAATACTGCAGTTAGACTTGATCCCCATGACTCACTAATCACAACAACATCATATGGTTGAAATGCTCCAAACGGGCTGCTGTTTAAAATATTTCACAAACTTTACAATCTTAAATTTTTTTATGAGGGATTCATTCGGGAGGAATAAAAATGTTTTTGTTGGAGGGGGAATTATCAGTAAGAATCTGTGTGCAGCTACAGTATGTGTGCAAATGCATCTTTATTATGCAGACAAGTTAAACCTAGATACACATACTAGGAATGAGGAATGTTGTGAAAATATTGTCATTTAGGTTATGCTCAGAGCCACTGCATAGTGTTTAAATAACACAGTGAGTGGTACTTTAGATTCTTCTAAAGATTAAATAGCTTTCTATATAGCAATCAGTCCTGCAACACTTATACATATGTTTTATGTACGTGAGTATTCATAATAAAATCAGTGAGACTATTTGTGCTCAAAAAACGTGAGCGGGGTACGTGCTTGTAGGCTCCGTTGATGTGTGTTTCTATGTGCTTGCACCACACGCGCATTAAACTGCAAGTCCATTAAATAAAATTCCATCATTTTCTGCTGTCATTTTAACTACTATTTCTGACAATGCTGTAGTACAGATTTATTCTGATATCATTTTTAATTCTTCTCAATAAGATTAATTTTTTCTCTCCCAAAATGTGCAATAGCTAGATGTTTTTAACGTGTCTTCAGCCGGACTATCCAACTAGAACAGTGTTGAAGACTAATTAATCTTTGCCGTAAACTCCTTCTGCAATAAATTCACAGGCTGTTGTACTTAATATGTGGAAATGACTGTTAGGATTTTTGCTGCAGTGGAAAAATGCTTTTAAAGTTATATGAAAATAAAGATGTTTTCAGAATACCAAGAAACTATTTTGGAATTAATTTTGACTGTTAAATCTGAATTTTCAATTGAATTTAACTCTTCATAGACTGTACAACCTAATCAAAGAAATATTTTATATGATGATCATAAATAAATGTACCCTGTAGGTCATGGAGGCATTTGGCATGGGTAGGGAAAACCTGTGTTATTGTTTGCCTATTTATATGAATAAATATAGGATATCAGGCTCATGTCTGCCAGTCCGATACATCTTGCTACATCGTACCATAAGAACATAAAGAGGAAGGAAAAAGTAAAGGCAGAATAAACCATTAAATATCTAAAGACTTGGAATAATGGAACTAGCACATGTAAAATAATATAGTGTTTAAATACATTTTCAGTATTTGGCTTATTAAGCGTAGTGCTGTCCTTAAAAAAATAAGTCAAACAAACCTCTTTACACAATGTTGTCTCCAGTAAGAAAAGGATTTGGAGGTGAGCAAACTGGGAACACTTAATAGAAAAGAAATCTCATTTTCTCCCCCTCTCCCTCCACAATGACAGAAAGACCATCCTGGTCAGCTGTGTTTTGTTTGTTACATTTAGTGGCTTGAAAGGTCCAATTAGAAAACAATTGGTGGTGGCAACCTAACTCAGGTAAAACAATACCTCATCTTTATTTAGAGATCTTAACTGGGGTAATGGTGTTTAACAAACAGTCTGTTTTAATCAGGTGAGGATAAACCCCTCAATTAGGTAGCACATAGCTGCAACTACATCTTGGTGATGACAAAATGTCACTGGGGGCTAAGAGCCCCTTATGAAGGTCTTATGTTTCTATAGTTTTGTTAGAACTGGAAGAAAAAAATCAAGCAAGATTGTGCAGTTCTACTTACTTCTTTTTTTGCAAAAAGATTGTTAATGTGTGGTGATGAGACTTAAAACAGATAAGAGGGACCTTACTCTCTTCTCTTGAGCAGGCTGCTGTTAACCAGGGGTAACTCCACTGAAGGAACACTGGTATTAATAGCAGTGTGAAAAGAGAATCTGATCCGAAACATCGGTCACTGCACAGCTAGTTCCAGCTGTTGTCACATGCTGCATCCTTCTTGGGGTTTTTTTATGCTGTACTCTGTGTGTGTGTGTGTGTGTGTGTGTGATGTATTGCACGCACTGTACACCCTCTGTATGTTCTGGATTTAGTTATATCATTGCGCTTTATTTAAAGATAGATGGTTTACGTGTGTGCATTAAAAGGAGAGAAAATTATACAGGATAATCCTTCCCATGTAAACTACCGGTATGTAATTGCTTATTTCCTAGTACTAGTTTATTTAACATGGTGCATGGTTCATTACCAGAGAAGGAATAATTTCTGCTTAATAGATTATGGGGGATGCCGGAGGTCATTAGAGATTGTTTGTTGTGAAATATAGGCAATATCTTCACTTGACTCTTCCATACCGTTTTACCAGGATATCTGAAGCAGGCTTCTGGCTTTCTAGGAAAGCTTGTGTATGGAACGTGAAGCTGCGTTTATTTCTGTTTTATAGGTTACTTATTTAGTCAGAGTATGATTAAGGAAAAATGGGTAAGAAAAAGAGAATGAACACATACAGAGTTAATGGCTCTACCTAGCCCTATTACACCTGGTTATGGCAACTGGGACATTGCCTTTACCTCTAAGTCAGGGCAGTAAGGGTAAATAAGAAGATATGGGTCCACATAGTTGGTTGTAGCATCGCACATTTTATGGTTACTCAAACAACTGGTAGACAATCTTCTATTTAAAATGAGCGTACCTGATTTTAACACTCAGCAGTTCATACAAAAGAAGAGATTTAGTTTGGAAAAGAAAAAAAGACCTCCTCCTATTCATTATTTGCCAGGCATATTTGTGGTGCATTGAAAGTATGATCCAAATTTGTGATATTTACTTAATTGGTCAAACTCAGCACACAAATGTATAAATATTTTTATAAAATAATACTGAACGTGAAAGGGTGACTCCTTAAAACAGAAAATATTGATATTTATATGAATATACAAACTAAAACACACATACATATGTGAACACACACATGCACACACACTAAATAGCAAGATGCATACCATAATGAAGGGCTCCTTAGAATCTATAGTTTCCAGTGCTTTTATAAGTAGGTATTTAATATCCTTACCTTTATTTTATTTATTTTTTTAACCTTGGAGGAAAGTGATCTTTTCTGTTCTTTTTCTAGCTCTAATTCAATATAAATTCAAAACTAAATGACATATTTCTTAATAAGCAAGGATAAATAACTAGTGAACTACAATGGAAAACATTAAATACATTGAGGAGTACATTGCAGTCTAAGGACTGATTTATTTTCATTTTATTTTTTCATAGCA